GCCTTTTTGTCTCAGTCATGAAAATTGTAAATAACTATGAAAATATACACCTGATTTTACATCTTGCTTACTGCGAGTTATTAGGAATTAAAAAAAGAGTTCAGCGGTAAAATTAATAGCATATATAGAGACTAGCAGCTTTTAATAGTAAAGAAATACTTTTAATATGCTGTGATGTGTTATTACATAATAATTTATTGTTTAGTTTTACTAGCAGAAATAGCCGCCCTCAGGGCAGGTATAACTGCTAGTTTCTGTGGAAGGCTATTCGGCCTTTTCTGGAATTGTCTGACAGTTCTACAACAATGTACTCATACTTTTAAGTTTAAAAATAACCTATCATTACAGCAATACATCACAGAGTAGATTTTATTGAAGTATTTCTTTGTAGACGCAGTTATCAATGAAAGTGCTTTTCTGTTGCAACACTCATGATATTTTCACTAAAGAAACAAACAATGTTTTTAAAGTTTTTTTTTATTGTTTTATATTTGAAAATAACTCCTTTTTGTTTGTAACTGCTTAGTTATAAAAATATTACCCACTTATGATTGATGATGATGGGTGCAGTAGTTTCCGAGATCCGAGTTTTGGACGTATACATCGCAAGCTCCATTGTAATAAGATAGCGTAGAAATGTGTACAAAACCAATCGAATTAGAATAAAAGGGGATCTGTTTGTTTCTATGGCTTTTACCCTATGTGTATCAGAAGCATTCCACAGTCCCTATAGTCTCCTTTAATATCTCCTCCCCCACAAACAAACAAACAAACATGGTGACCTTACCATGCTTGAAAAGTGCCCTTTTCGTCAATGATTCCCCGTCCTTTCAATGTCCTCTGCAAATTGCTGATATAGGCAACCTTAATATATATTTACAAAGAAGTCCTGAAATATATTTATACAGATGTAAAGTGAGGCACTAGAATCAATAAATTAAATTCCGTGTAAGTTCATACTTGTCTCGTGTTTGTACAACTACAGATAATAATTCTTAATCTTTTTGTCGTCTAAAGCCGTGAAAAATATTTAATTAGTTATGAATATAAGATTTCTTTTTCTGTTAATAAAACGTTAAAAAAATAAATGTATGTAAACATCGTTGTTCTTTCAATAACAAGTCGGCTTTAGATAGGCTTTGAGTTTCTTTGTTTGTACGTATTTGATAAGCGGAAAGTTACACACTGGGCTATCAGTACTGTTCTCACCCCGTTTCTAGCGTTATATATATATACGCAGACTTACCGCTGTGTCACTGGGTTGGGGGAAAGACTTGTTGTATTACTGTCTCGAAGTAAATATATGAACGTTCGCAGAATTTATGTAAAATGATTTTTTTTTGTAAATTTAGAAAGCATATAAACAAAAATTTTTCTAGCTTTCCTTTTGATCATACCCCCCCCCCCCCCAAGTGGCTCAACGGTAAATCTGTGGTCTTATAACGCTAAAAACCGGGTTTCGATACCCATGTTTGGTACATCACAGATAGCCCATTGCATAGCTTTGTGCTTAACGAGAAACAAATGAGCCCGTTGATGATATAGATGTGTCGTGTAATTTCTTCCTGATATGGAATGGACGTAGTCTAGTGATTAGTGTACCTGGACTGTGAATCTAATGATTCATGGCTCGTTAACCTGTTGCCGCATATATGCGCTACGCACTTTGTGCCTAGGATGAGTTAAAAGAGTTATGGTCAGCTTATACTATTGCACATACAAAAGTAGCCCAGGAATTGGCGGTATATATGTGCTATTAATTAACCACCGCTCCTCTAGTACGTTAATTCAAACTTATGGATGGTTATGCGCGAAATTCTGAAACAAACAGATCTTCCCGATATAATGTCGAAAGGGTGTTACAATATAAGCTGCATGTATCACTACAGTAGTGTATAATCCTGCTAGTACAGGTTTCAACTCTTTTGGGCGCGGTTTAGCCCTGTGGTAGATCTCTGGATTTCGAAGCTAGTGAGCCGGGCTCGAATTCGTGCAATCCCCAAAAAGTATTCCCCGCACTTTAAGCTGTGGGTGAGTTATAAGTGACATTTTTAGTATGAATAGTTAGTGGTAGGGTGCTACTGACACTCATACAACCAGAGATAAACAGACAGTGGTTATTAAGCGACATCAGTTTTTTAATATTGTTCACATAATTTCTCCAGGGGAAAATTAATCTTTGAGATAACTGCCTACTATTAACCGTTCAGAGAATCATCCAAAGTTATTTTTTGTTTGTTTAATATATTATCTATACACAATAGTCATAATAATGCACGTATATCTGTGTTAATTATTTATGGACATACTGTTGACTGCACTACCAAATCATGCAGGTAATATGGGTAATTGTAACATCAGTCTATATAGCTCTGTTCTCCAGCTGACTTACATTTTAGTAGCACCTTGTTCAGTCTAGAATGCTCCCTAGCGTCATTAAAGCAAATTATTCAACAAAGATGCATATTTACAGATTTGGTGTGGTATGTCATTTGGCACAAAACAAAGATGACAGTTCCTCGTTACTAGCCTGTTAGCCACATTTTTCATGTCGTACTCTCATTTTGCCAAAATATTGCATATGTATGGATTTTTTTTGGCAATAGAAGAAGTGAGGGCATCACAGTCCACATCTACTGATAAATGACACACATTGATTGGATGAGCGGTAATATAGCGTAGTCCCAGTGCTACGTATCATAGTACTTGTTGTAAGGCTGTTTAAAAGGCATTACAAAAACAAAACTGCTGAATCAATCTTATTTAAATATGATATAATTATCCACAGTACTATTAATATTGTAAATGTTTTATTATGAGCTTTGAAAATACGACTTATATATCAACTACGTCGACATTCAATCCCATATTTTTTTAACTTTAGAAGAAAAATGAATCAATTCGCTTGAAAATTCAGAAAAACATTCAAAAAAGTATTTATTTGTAACAAGACGTCTATATTCTTATTTGTGATGTGCTGTCTGTCCGTGAATGAGATACTTGTTGCATATTGAGACAGAGACGTTTGGTTTTCCACTTTGCCATAAATACAATTTCTCTTTCCGACTTCGTTTCTTCCTTTACATTAATGTTGAACAAACAAAATAAGAGAGAGAGTCTTATTGTGAGCGTCCCCAGGCAGACATAGATAACTCTTGAATATCAGTTAATAGTTTTCATTTTTCATATATATATATATATAATACATCGCTGTAATAATCCTCATTCTCAATTATCAGAGATCAAACCATCATCGTTGTTGTAGTGAAACTTATGATAGTGTTAGTAATAGTACAGATGAAGACCTTTTGTGATGTTAGAGCACAATTAATTCAATAGAGTAGTCTAGTATAATGAACTCTAAAGCGTGAGAAGACCTGACGACCTTCAACTAAGTCGTTTTATATTGAAAGTTATACGTGTAAGGACTGAATTTGTCACGATGGTGGTTCTGAAACACAGTCATCCTTTGAGAATTGGATAACTATAGTTCATTAAGAAATGCAAAAATAAAAACGAAAGCTCCCAAGTATACGGTATATAAGTGTTTTATTTCGAAAAGCTATACTGTGGAACCAAAGTCTGCCGACCTAGCGGCGCTACCAATGTCTCTCGTCATAAATCAAAACATTACTTGTGTTGCATCAGCAGTGATGAAAGTTTACCAGGCATTACTGTAACATTGAACCCTAGCATTGATACATATTTGGTATAACGACGTATTCAAACATGTTATACGAGAAGGTCGAGATGTCAGTTGATGTTTGGAACGGTTGATAGTTACGTATAGACTAAATTTTTAACATTAATTCTATTTTATTGAGGTTGTTTAATGAAATAGCGCCGTTTAGTAGCAGATCTGAAAATATATAAACATTTTTAGAAAACAAAAAAGAGCTATTTGGAAACAGTTACTCCCAATACACCCCACGCCATATTTAATCCACGAATTATCTTTCTGTTTCCTAATAAGGAAAGAAATTACATATATGCAGCCAATAAACCTGTTTGCAATGCAGTCGGCCGGCCAAAATCCTGAAATACACTTTGATGGAATTTTTTTGTTACAAGTTCTTACCTCTCACAGATGTCTGCTATATGACTCAAGGTTTTGAATGAGAGGAGATAACATCTTCGTATTTAACCTTCAAGGTCAATTTAATGAAATATTAGACAATTTTGTATTTTTTTTACATAATTGTCAGAGGAAAACAAAATGTTATATTACATCTAGATATGTTATATTTGACTCAAAATAATTAAATAGTGCACACATTAGTTTAGTATTTGATCTTGAGAGTCATTTTCAAGGTCACAATGATGAAAATATTATCAAAATAAGCCTTTTTTCCAATGTTTCTTCCATTTGTATAATGACACACTTGCATCTTGTTTCCATTATTGTTGGCATTGTATCTGTACTGTATCTGAATTGTATCATTCCATCATTGTTTCCATTGTAGCAAATGTTACAAATACTTTTTCTTTTATTTCAGGTTCTGCTATGAAACTAGACCATGGAGATGAACCAACCTACATCATCAAAACGCAGACTCGAAGAAGATGAAATTTCCCACTGTATCATTTGTTAAGAGGACAGCATGGAACCTCTTCGCCCCTTTCCATCAGAAGCTGGAAAGGCTATATTACTGAATGTTGCCAAAGAAAGAAAAAATTTAAAAATGCGGATTCAGTTCATATTACTGATCGTATAACTTGACTTTCTGAAAGTCAACTGTGGCAAGAGGGTCTTATCAAATGGCATAAACCTTGCTGCTGCAAATTCACAGGTGAAAGTAAGTTGCAACGGCTGAGAAAGCAGTCTTTATCAAAGCATCAAACAGGGTTGAAGAACTTAAAGCAACAAGCCAAAAGCCAGTGAAACGCTTGATTACAATCTGTGTATGTTTTGTTAAACACAAAGCAGTAAACAATTAAGCAATGTTGCAACATTCAATGTATATGAAAAGATAATAAAGGTTGCACAAAAAGATGTTACTATGAGAGTGAAATTGGCAGATGCTGTTGATGGCAAGTACAACGTTCAGTGTTGGGCAGAGTTTCAGAATAAGATAGGAAAGGTCAGTGATAAGCCAAAGAGGATTATGAGCAAGATAAAATTATGGATGAACTGTGTTTGGATAATATATCAGGCCTAAAGTTAGGAAAAGTATATGACATGAGGCATGTATGGGAAAAATATGTTCATCTGTGTCACATGAAGCAAGAATCAGGTGACCAGGTGTGTAGGGAACACAGACGCCTTTCTTTTGAAACTTGTCCAGAATATTAGTGACGATAGTTGTATCAGTTCTGCGCACAGTATCAATGCCATTGGAATGCCCAGTAGAATGAAGGAGGTTGATAAAATTATCTGATGTTGTTGCCTGGTGAACAATAAGGCCACTACCCACATGTGTTGAGTCAACTTCCTGTTTCTAGCTACTGCATACAACACATCTTGTGCGATCCTGAAAACCCTCCTTTTTAGCTGTTTTTCACACTTCTCAGAATCATTCTGGTTTTATACTTTGATAAAGATTGTTTTCTCAGCCGTTGCAGTTTGCTCTCAGCTGTGAATTTGCAGCGAGCACGTTTTATGTCATTTGATAAGACCCCCTTTCCACAGATGACTTTCAGAAAGTCAAGTTATACGATCAGCAACATTCAGTAGTCTAACCTTTCTAAATTCTGAGGAGAAGGGCGAAGAGGTTCCTTGCTCTCCTCTTGACAAACGATACAATAGAAAATTTCACCTTCTTCGCTTCTGCGTTTAGATGATGTAGGTTGATTAAACTCTATGGTCTAGTTTCATATCAGAACCTGAAAGAAAAGAAAAAAAACATTTGTAGCATGTGCTACAATAGAAACAACGATAGAATGATACAATACAGATACAATATAGATGCAAACAATAATGGAAACAAGATGCACGTGTGTCATCATACAAATGTCAAAAGCATTGCAAAAATTGATTATTTTGGAAATAATTTCACCATTGTGACCTTGAAAATGACCTCCAAGATTAAATACTAAACTAATGTTTACACTATTTGATTATTTTGAGTCAAATACAACACAATTAGATGTAATATAACATTTTACCTCTGACAATTAGTAAAGTCCTAAGTATGTAAAAAATACAAAATTGGTTAATATTTCATTAAAATGACCTTGAAATTTACCTTTAATGTAAAATGCGAAGATGGCATCCCCTATGATTCAAATGTTGGGTTAATATTTAAGGCATCCAGGGGAGGGGGTACCAACTTGTAACAAAAAATGCCATCAAAACTTATTTTAAGCACATTTTACTACTTATTGCAACAGTGAAAAGTAAGAATTTTTCAAAATTGTTAAAGCGCATAGTTTTACATTGATTCTAGTTTACCTTTTAAACAACTGCTATAAAACTAAACAGTTAGAACTGTATTCACTTCAAGAAAAGGATTATAACTGTTAGAAGTATGTTACACTTAAAATGTGAATTTACTAATTTCCAAGTTTATCCTGCTGAGGTTTCATGTCATGTTTGTTAGAAGTCACAAATAAGCTCAGCAAAAAAACAAAAGTTTTGCGAAATATGAGCCCAAGTTATGGATTGTTTTTTCTTCAAATTTGCACAAAGGAAAAGTACATTCTCAGTTTTGTGTGTTTGTTTGTTAGTAATTAAGCACAAAGCTACACAATGGGTTATCTGTGCTCTGCCCACCACGGGTATCATAACCCGGTTTTTAGGGTTGTAAGTCCGCAGAAATACCGCCGTGCCACTGGGGAGCTACATTCACAGAGGCAGTGAAGAAAACCAAATTCAATAAAAGCCTTTTCCTCCAGGACTTAAACTGAAATAAACATGTATGATGTTCCAAATAGTGCAACGAGAAACCCTTAAATTTCGAACTGGTGGCCAGGTTATAAACCAATCATTTACTTAAACCGAATCTTGGACATCTCTCACTTGGTTATCAATTACAAAACTGACCTCACGTTTACTACAAAAGAATAAAATTATATATATCTTCAAAACAAGTTATTTTCTTTAAAATAATTTGATTATGATACACCAGGCAAGTACGATGAATTATTGGTGCTGTTGTAACTAATTAGTTTAATGCTTGTTGATATGTGTTTTGACTTGGCACGTATCCATTTTTGATTTCAGAAAGCTACCTCAATAAAAAAGAACTACACATACAGACAACATAAATTTTGAACGCAGACAGATTTTATCATACAACATCCATTAGACACTGATGTTCTAGATTTAATTACATAATAAAGAACAGTGTCTTTGGCAATCATAAAAGATGCAGTTAGCAATATGGATCAAATGACAATTCAAAAATGTTAACTCGTAACACTATAGCTACGGAATGAAACTTCTAGAGAGGTTGAGTACGTTACATAAAAAAAAAAAAATGCCCCGGCATGGCCAGGTGGTTAGGGCGCTCTACTCGCAATCTGAGAGTAGCGGGTTCAAATCACGGTCCCACCAAACATGCTCGTCCTTTTAGCCGTGGGGGCATCATAAAGTGACGGTCAATCTCACTATTCGTTGGTGAAAGAGTAGCTCAAGAGTTGGCGGTGATGACTAGCTACCTTTCCTCTAGTCTTTCACTGCTAAATTATGGACGGCTAGCGCAGATAGCCCTCTTGTAGCTTTGCGCGAAATTCAAAACCATTAAAATAATTTTGGAGGCTCGCCACATCATTACAGTATGCGTAGCCATGTCCAGTTATGTTCTGTCTAACGACCGTGTATCTTGACAAAATCCTGCAGTGTATTTTTCATTGCAAAAGGCTCTTTTTTTATAAAGATATCATGTACCAAGCACACTACTTTCTCCTGCACCTTTTCCATAATCAATCTAAAGAACAACAACGGCAGTTTCACAGCACCTATTTCAACAACCCGATTGCATATAAATCCTTAGGCCCTGCGTCCGATGACTTCCCTGGTATTTCTTCGTACAGGATAGTATGAATATTCGTTTCATTCTTCAGCTGTATTTGTTGTTATAGAAACTTGTGTACACGTGACTATTGTCGCTTTTCGAACCTTGGGAAATATTACTGGGTTAACTGAGGAGAATAGCATTAGCAACTGATGAAATAATACATTGTAATCTTTACAAGTAAGAACGTAGAACCAGTATAATTTTTAGCTACATTCATTATCAGGTTGATTTTTTTAATTTGGATCTAACTAGGTAGTTTGTACTGACCAGAAGTTAATATTAATATCATTATTATGTTTCAACATAAATGTTTTAGTTGGTTTTACTGTTTGGTTTGTTGTTAAGCGCAAAGCCACACAACGAACTATCTGTGCTTTGCACCTCATGGGTATCGAAACCCGCTTTTTAGCGTTTTAAACACGCAGTCTTACCACTGAGCCACTGGTGGGCAAATGTTTGAGAAAATACTGATGTCAGTTCGAGAATTCGTAACCTTTCTTTCGTACTGAATCTAGATTGTTATTCCTGGAATTTTACATTCTCATCACCTATACATATGTTTATCTATAAGATCTTCATTCGAATAGTGTTAGGGTAACTTTTATATTTCCTACATGTCGGTGTTTTCTTGACTGACAGTGTTTCTATGGCTCATAAAAATAAAGGAATTTCTTATAAACTTCAGCACTGGAATCAATTAGTAAATCATTACGATCAAATCCAAAGCTGATATATTTACGTCGTCAACACAATCTTCATATAAAATCTCGTCACATCAGACGTAGTAAAGAACTTTCGTTTGAAATCTAATAGTTTGTTGTTAAGTATAGGTGTTGTAAACACATGTAACTAAAATATCCACTCTCGTGGCGATTAATATTTCGGAGCGCCTGCTATTTTCAACAATTATCATGATATTGAAATACGACTTTTTCTGCAAAACTTATGTAAGTATGCTCACAGCCGCACTCGTAGGCCATGCTTTTATCATGATGTAGATTCTATGAAAAATTTATAAAACTAAACAAAAATTACCAAAGTAAGATTCAAACAGCTGAGTTAGATGTTAGAAAGATTACGTTTGAACATTATAGAATTTTTTCGGAAAAATAGTTTTGGAAAAATAAGTATAATCTGATTTATTTGTAAAGAATAGTTATATTAAATAACAATAGGACTTTGTGGTTAATTTATTGTACTTAGGTTAACCATAGTGGTTGGAAAAATTGCAACGAAGCGCGAGAATTTCCTTTTGTTCTATAGATATGTCAATAATCTTTCTTAAGACACTCATGTAACTCTAGTTAACTTTTTATGGTGTATGTTAACTTTTGGATCGTGTAAACAGGAAAAAGAATATGTAAATGTCTATATATATATATAAACCCACTTGTGTGACAGCTGCTAGGAATGCTCTGCTTCTGGCAGATTCCTAGAACTAAGCATTGCTTCGAAAGGTCAGAACTCAGACAGCCACAGACATGGAGGTCTCTCCGTTAATTGACTAGAGAAAAACCTCACTCAGATAAATTAAAGATTAAAAAGGAAATGGAAAGAGATAAACTTTGATGTACATGAACAGTTTAAAAATGCATCTTTTTACATGTATTGCCTGTTTAACTTGGCAGTCTAGTTACAAACCCTTTCTGACATTCTAAGCCTCGTTTTAAAAAAGAAAAAGGCAGGTTAAAAAACATTGAAAGTCTCAACATAACATGCACTGAGTGATTAGTTTCTAAAGGGACTTCCACACGTGTGCATCACCTAACGGAAGACACACTTAATGAAATGTAATAATTTAAGTTCAAAATAAAGAATTTTTATTAACCGACCAATTTCTTTTTTACTTTATTGATGAATACAATTGTGTTTAATCAAGTGATTTATCTATAAAAAAAACTCTATTATCAATTCGAAACGATTTACTTGCGGGAAAATAAAGAGATAATCATGACTGCTTCTCGAAATCACTTGACTTTAACATTGGACGAAATGCAATAATTTAATAATGAGAACAGGTTTGTTTGCCTCAATTGCGTACTTATTAAAACTGAACTGTGGCATAAGTGTTACCGCATTACACGTACTCAGGGAAGGTGTATTTTACTCACAATTGTATATATATGTATATATATATAACAGAAGCAACAGTGAAAATGTGCCATTATTTTGATACTCTCTGATAAAGCATGAAATGGAACAGAAAAATTTATTCAAGCACCCTGAAATATATGAGTCTAAATTTGACTCTACATTTGAGTCTACATTTTTACTCAAATTAATTAGTATTTCCGCTTGTAAGTGCCGAGAGGCAAAACTAGACTTATCGTGTGTGTGTGTCTATGTTTGTGTATTTTTCTTATAGCAAAGCCACATCGGGCTATCTGCTGTGTCCAATGAGGTGAATCGAACCTCTGATTTTAGCGTTGTAAATTCGTAGACCTTAAACTTATCGCGCAAATATTTGGTGAATTTGAAATAAATTCGGTCAACATGCAACGACAATATAACCTTCTCCAAAGTGACCAGTATTCAATGGCATCACGCTATCTACGTGACTGCAAAAAAAAAAAGTCAAAATGCATATACTATTGACCATAAACGGTTCATTGAAACTGCAGGTCACAACGCCTACTAAATGATCTATATACACCCCGTTTTTTTTAAATGTTTATACACACAAATACGTCCAGTACTCAGAATTTTCAAAAACATATTCTGTATAGTGAAATAACATAAGTAAACTATCATTGATTCTATTGTACAAACTACAGTAACAAAGCTTTTGAGCTCGAGAACAATTTGTATGAAAAAAATTAAGAGTTGGGTTGCTAATAAATACTCATTTCCATTGATCCAGGACCACTTATACAAGATCACTTGTACTAAATATAGAATTCATTTCCGATCACTTAAGAACAACACTAAAATCCGGGATTTTATTCCTCACAGTGGATACAGAATTGGGAGTCTATTGTGTAGCTCTGCGTTGAAAAAACAACCAAAGCATCTAAAGAGAATTTTTTTTTAAGTTAAGCACAAAACTACACAATCTGTACACTGACCACCACGGGTATCGAAACCCGGTTCCTACCGTCGTAAGTCCGCAGACATACCGCTGTGCCACTGGGGGGGGGGGTACTAAAGAGAAATCAGTTAAGTTATTATGGAACAAAGAAACTGTAGGCTTGAGTTTTTTAAGATATATTTCCACGCATACATATATAAATATTTTAAAAACTGATATTTACTTTTACTAAAAAAAAGATAACAACATATGACGTAGTATTCTTGAAATCTATTCGATTAATATACTACTAATTCTGGATAGAACCACAAATTTAGTATTATTATCCCTCAAAGGCCCGGCATAGCCAGGTGGTTAGGTCGCTTGGCTCGCAATCTGAGGGTCGCTGGTTCGAATACCCATCACACCAAACATACTCGCCCTTTCAACCGTGGGGGTGTTATAATGTTACGTCAATCCCACTATTCTTTTACCAACAAAAATGGGATTGACCGTCACATTATAGTACCCCCACAGCTGATACAACAAGTATTTTTGGAGATGGGTTTGGAACTCACGAACCACAGGTTTTGAGTCGAGCGCCTTAATTTTAGACTGCCTACGTGTTGTTGTTTGTCTGTTGGGACCTTATAGCCTTATCTGGTCATTGGCCTGAAAAACGGGATAAAACTTAAGCTTGTTCCTAATCGTGCCACCTAGAAATATTGACATTTTGTTTTTATATTTATTGTATGTCCAGTCTGTTCAGCTAAGTTTTTGGTATAGTCAGTCCGCGGCTTTAGTTTTATTTTATACATAGTGGATATCGGTTAATGTAGTTTGAGTAAGGTATACTTATCAGACTTACCAACAGATATCAACAAATAAAGTATCTTTGTTGCTGTAAAGGAGACAACGTGCGTGTTTTTTTTTCCTGGTATTTCCACCCCATTCTTTCAAATAATAATATTCTGCCACGCCCAGTTTTACGGTATCAAATTTAATTCACTAGAACTTTATCTGCTGTTTAAATCTTCAAGTTTCTTTTTAATGCGGAATTATCCAATTTGAGCGTATGTTTCGGTAATCAAGATTACGACAGTAGTTGAACACCAAAAAAGAAAAAAATTGAAAATCTGAAAAAAATCACGTTTTTTACCACCACTTTATTGCTTTGGATATTTGTTTTCAATTAAATATAACACACCTGTAAGGTTTTTCAGAAAATATTTCCTATAGGACTGCTAGTTCTAAAACATTGGCAAAATAATCGGAGTCTAATATTTTTCAGATTGACTTTATAGTCCACTATCGTTCGATTATGATTATTTTCTAAGGCTCATTGACTCAAGTGTCATTTGTATCAAACATTCTATTCAAGGATCTTTATTATATATCTGTGACACTGTGAGAGCGAGATATATTGAGAAATATATTTTACAGCGAATAATATTGTTACATGTCTGCGAGGATCTTCAGCCATACAAGTCCTTTCTTGATTAAACCAGTTTATTATTCCCCAATACAAACTTTTAGTACACAGTAGTTCCACAATTAGTACGTTTCTCGTCACGTTAACTTAACAACTTTTATAATACACGCTATAAATCACAGCAATTCACAAGCTATGTCTCAGCTGGCTTTTTCTGCCAGGCTTATATACTAACGAAGAGGGCATCTCGAACGCACGCGGACTTCCCTGATCATTCGAGAAACTCAAGCACGTCACGTGACTTCCGCTGTCGTAACAATATATATATTTGAAAACAAAACTTATTTTGTAGTGACCCGTTTGTGGGTGATACTAAAGTATTTATAATTATTTAAAAGTATCTTTTGTTTAAACTATTTTAAAAGGAGCTATTTAGTTTCTTTTCGTTATTTTGTTATGTTTACTGTTTCCTTAGATGTTGACAAAACTTACGAGATCTTTTTAAACGTGGTTGTATATTAAACTGTATATATTTAACTCTCCGGTTTGAATTTTGTTAGTTGTTTTTTTTTTCGAATTATTCATCAAATATTTATGTATCTAATAAAGGAACTGCTTGACGAGTCACCACGTGACGGTTATGAGGAATCTTATGAAAGACAGAGAAATGAACCTTCAACTTCCTACCAGCAGTTTTATCAAACATATTACAGCACGCCGGAAAGACTGAAAAATCTGAGAAGGAACTACGGACCAGCCGGACTTAGAAAAGCTCTAGTTGCTCAAAATATACAAGAAAGTAAGCCTTTAGTAGCAGTTGCTTTTTTCAGGATGTTGTATATTGAACATACTATCCTCAAATACCCTCGTTTCACTATGTTAAACATAAAATAATTCAATGGAAAAAGTAACTAACGAACAAATTAGTTCATAACGAATGAATATTTTTATTTTTTAACTTAGTTTAAAATGTTTGTCATTTTATGAACAAAACTAGTTATCTCAAACAATTGTATTCAAAGGGTTTATGGTTCCAAAGTTAAAATCGTCTTAACGAGGTGAGGTGCAGATTGTTGGCTTTAATTTTAACCAGAGTGCTTTTCTATTCTTACATTTTTTTAATTTCAAAATTCTTACACTATATATATTTAATTGCATTTAAACACATCTGTTGCTTTTCCTCTGGTATTAGTTATCACAGAGCGTGTACCATATGAATTATGTTATATAAATATGTTTGTCCCCTGGTGGATTAGAGATAACTTTACGGACTTTCAACGATAACATCCAGGGTTCGATTCCCCATGGTGGGCAGAGCGCAGATAGCCCGTAATGTTGCTTTGCGATGAAACAACAACAATATTTTATATAATGTTTTTATAAATATTATTCTACACAGCTGGTAATGATCTAGTGAACTCAGGTGAATAGTGTATCACGATTTCAAATAACTACAATAATGTTGTGTTGTCTCGGAAAATAGCAAATTTATGAATAATTTTTTACTTTGTTTAAATATATACCTCCTTTAGCTTCGGCGACTTCATTTGTTAAATTTTTATCAGTTCAATACCATGAAAGCGCATGTAATAATTACAGTAAAATGCCTTTCATATTAACACTCCCTTTTTTTATATTCAATTCAAACCATTAATAATTTTTATCACCATAATTATCCGTGCATAATAAAATGGCAAAATAATATAACATTATCATTAAGTTCAAAGAAACTCGATGAAACCCTAGCGCTTTCGTTAGGTAGACTTGTCTTCTTCAGGGGTGAAGGATTCATGAGGTTTTCGAATTTAATTTACAAAGTTTGTTTTGTCTAACGCATTTTTTACTATCATGATATTATTATTATTCGTTGTAAAAATCAATTACATCAAATACTGACAAAAAAAATTATAGAAATATATTTAAAGATATACATAACGTCACAAATCTTGAGTTCTGGATCTGCTCTGACCATGAGTGACACACAATTTGCAGGGTAAGCGTATTTGCTGTTGGTAAGGTTCAAATTAATGAATAATAATTCAGTTGTGGAAGGTAACTGAAAACATTAATTACTCGGAGATATTAAATCATGCTGCAAAAAAAAAAAAGTTATGTTGCAAAGTTCCAATTTACTGATGCTCAGGAGTGTCCATATGAAATTACCAATGAAATATGGATGGACGATGTAAAACAAAAAAGCCATCATTGCAATGCCTATACTTGTGGGTATTTACAACGACAGAAAAGTACACTAAAAAATCTTTGAGTGCCTACAGTAGCTTATAGGTTACAATTACTATGTGAACGACGGGTGTTAAAAAGAAGTTGATAAAGAATATTGTATCATAAAGGCAAGACGTTCCCAGTGTTATAGCTGAAAGGCCATCTACAAATATGCTACCATCACGAAGTTGATAAAGAATATTGTATCATAAAGGCAAGACGTTCCCAGTGTTATAGCTGAAAGGCCATATCATTCATTGGTATACCTGAGAAAAGGTGGAAGAATGGTCATTATAACTGCATAGAAGGGTAAGGGTAATTAAATTATGCTGACATAGATATATTCTAAAACTTAAAATTTGGATATCAGATACATGCTCAACAGTAATCAAAGTTAAAACAGTCAGAGCCAGATAGTGTGTGTAATTTATGGTTAGGATATAATTATATGCGTAAGGGAAAAATCAGTCCATGAAGCTTAATAATTGAAATTATATCATTTCAAACTTCTTCAGATACATACAACTTATTTCAAAAGGCAATAAAATGAAAGTGAAAGTATGAGTCTGTGATTGCTACAAGTATTTGTAAGCCTCCTCGGGCCCACCAACAGTAATTATAAGTCCCAGGCTAAAATAGTCAAGGATACTGCTCACTGACATGACACTTTTTTTACCCCATTAATAACAGCAATTTTAAACAAAAGAAACAAAAACAAATACGTACTTATTACATCCTATCGGTGAACCTGAACATCCTAATCTTGTTAGAGCATTAATTGGTTATATGTCTACAAAAACACATACCTGAACCTGAACATCCTAATCTTGTTGGAGCATTAGTTGGTTATATGTCTACAAAAACACATACCTGAACCTGAACATCCTAATCTTGCTGGAGCATTAATTGGTTATATGTCTACAAACACACATACCTGAACCTGAACATCCTAATCTTGCTGGAGCATTAATTGGTTATATGTCTACAAACACACATACCTGAACCTGAACATCCTAATCTTGCTGGATGTGTGTTTGTAGACATATAACCAATTAATGCTACACACTTTCTTTTTCTTTCACGTTTGGAATGACGATCTTTATCAACTGCTTCCCAATGGCTCAGCAGTAAGTCTGAAGGCTTATAACGCTAAAAACTGGGTTTCGATACCCGAGGTTGGAGCAGCACAGATAGCTCATTGATAATGAAACAAGATCACAAACTTTACTAATTAATGTTGGTCAAGAACTGTTATGGTTCATAATGATTGTATGTTACATATGTACTATTTTTGCAATATTGAAACTCCATTATTATCACCCACGGGTGCTAAAGACACCATGTAACTTATAGTTTGAATTAACAAGAAAAACTCATTCACTCCCATCCAACTATATTATTAGGAGTCTTCGATGTAAAGCAAAACACATTTGGATGATCGGATAGCTTTTCTGTAAAGTAATCAAAAGTTCAATTTATCGGAACTATCACAATAATTAATTTTCATTCTGGCTTCTGCCAGTCTCTCTTTACGTATCGTCTAAATATGCACTAATGCAGCTAACATTAGTTTTAGAATAATAAAAGAAATTCATCATGCTGGTCTACTTGTGATGAAATGCTTTCCAAATAGCCAGAAATGGAATGACGGAGTTCATTTTTCTTTCCGAATATCAGTAATCCAAATACTTCTCCTTTTATGATTCTTTAAAGATACTACAAAAAGTTAGGTTCCTCCTTTGATATATCGATTAGTTTAAACCTACCGCAGATCAGCTCTTCACTTTATTAATCAAATACCGTAGCACTCACCATTACTCCATTTGTTTTTAATTCTTAACGTAACCAGGGCAGTCCCGCACTTGTTCGTGACGTCATCAGCGAGAGCACTATCAAAAGTGTTATTAACCATATTGCCCTTATACTTCTGTGCTAGACAATAGTTTCAAAGATGTGTATGGTGTATGAGTTGTTTTCCACTAACCACGAGCACTCCATATTTACTTATGTGTTTTAAAAATAACTAACATGAATTTATTTTGCGAAATAGGCAAGCTGTGTAATATAACGAAATATTTTCTTTCACCACCATAACTGATGAAAGAAACATGACATTAGTGTTAGAGCCATTTAAACACATGCAAATAGAAGACATAACTTGGAGGTAAACATAACCTGTGTGTTTATATTTGCCTTATAATACTTAGAATTTAAACGTTTCATGGTCAGGAATTATCTCGATAAAACAAAAGGCATATGACTTTCTTTGAAAAGGATTTTTTAATAAACTTTAACTACTTTGGACAGTACAAGTATTTATAAAAATGGAACACTTTAATAACGGAGAACAACCGTGCCAGTTTGTTCTACTTTGAACATATACACACGTACTTCTAAATTCGACAATCCACAAATAAGATGTACAAAACGTATAACAAAAATAGCATTTCAACTCAGATATAATAAAGAAGTTTAGATCATTTTCTGAAAAGGATATATCAACTCTTAGTACTTTATTGTGTTATATGTATATAATACACGATTCTAGAGACACTGTATTTGTTAGGTGATCATATATAATTCAACGGACTATTGACTTATTATAATATACGAATATATGAAAACTGGTGTAGCTCGTCTATTTTTGCGCTAAACCAAAGATACAAACATACGCGTTCGCAATGGTTGCAATAATTAATTTAGACTTGACAGAGATCAACTGTACGGTAACGTAAACATACGAACAATTAGTAAGATCCATCCAGTGGTAAAAAAACAATTTCAATCTGACAGGTGTGAATATAAACGATTAATGAATAAAATTCTGTAAAGAACCACTAGTAGTAGTGAGATAATCAATTTGTACTTGACAAAAGTTCACTTTGTGTGAATAAAAATACTTAACTATTAACTAATAAAATTCTGTTAAGAACCACTACTAGTTGTGAGATAATCAATTTTTACTTGACGAAAGTTCACTTTGTTTGAATAAAAATACTCAACGATTAACTAATAAAATTCTGTTAAGAACCACTACTAGTAGTGAGATAATCAATTTGTACTTGACGAAAGTTCACTTTGTGTGAATAAAAATACTTAACTATTAAGTAATAAAATTCTGTTAAGAACCACTACTAGTAGTGAGATAATCAACTTGTACTTGACGAAAGTTCACTTTGTTTGAATAAAAATACTTAACTATTAACTAATAAAATTCTAAAAAGAACCACTACTAGTTGTGAGATAATCAATTTGTACTTGACGAAAGTTCAATTTGTGTGAATAAAAATACTCAACGATTAACTAATAAAATTCTGTTAAGAACCACTACTAGTAGTGAGATAATCAATTTGTACTTGACGAAATTTCACTTTGTGTGAATGAAATCACCTGAAAATCTTTTGTAGTTACGCCCCTGAAATGATAGTAACATTTTTGAATTTTTTATTGAAAATGAGAAACTATTGCAAAGTAGCATTTAATGCACGTGCTAATATATAATATGTATCTTTGCCGGCTTGTTAAATGTTACATAAATATATCAACAACCTCTTCTGTTAAGGCAACATTAAAAGAGTTTAATGGTAATATCATGAATACAGAGAACTCTGATCATTTCTTATAATCCGAGAACATCCAGTTATTTCATGCTTTCCAGACCCCAGTTACACTTTGAGCAGGACACATAAATAATATTTAACAAGTGACTATACCAGTGAAATAACATGTGAAACGGTTAATTCTACCAGAATTTACCATCGCTTTGGAATGAGGTTTTGGTCATTCATCTTTCAAAGTATGTTTTCACATATTTGAGTAGATAGATCATACATTAAGTTTCAGACATTCCTTAAAGTTTCTCTCTCAAAGGAACATAAATAATACTAAACCTATTCATAGATGATAAGGACATAAATAACACTAAACCTCATTCATAGATGATAAGGACATAAATAACACTAAACCTCATTCATAGATGATAAGGACATAAATAACACTAAACCTCATTCATAGATGATAAGGACATAAATAACACTAAACCTCATTCAT